CAAGTTGATCCCATTTATGAGAAAAACCGGGCCGAAAATTGTACAAGTGGTAAGGGTAAAAGAAACTGAGAAAAGAAACACCCAGGACCGGCGGTTCAAATAATCTACTATAACAGACATTCTCGAGAGAGGAGGTGAGCGCCCCTGCGTCGCTCCATTCAGGGTGACACGGGGGGCTCCTGAAGGCCTAGTCGTTGGTCGGTCCCTAGCCATCCCCTTCCCTTGTCTCTATCGGAGGAGGCCCATGCGTGAACCCCAGGGAGGACAGCATCGGAGGGTCACCTCCCATCCGTCTCATGGCAATTGGTGGCGGACTTGCGAATGGTGCAGCAGTCATGATGGGTGTGGCAGCGTTGTTAGGCTGCTGGCTTTGCCGGCGTGGCGGCGCTTGGTGCTGCCCCCGGCCGTGGAGGGTGTGGATCTAGGCTGCCCTAACTCAGAGAAGTGATTGTTCGTTTTCGATGGGATGCTCTGGTACTCCGCTCGTTTGGCAGCATGGTATTTCGATCGTTCGCCGCCGTCAACTCCCCGCCCCCTTTGCCTCCTCCTCGTCACCCTTGCTTTTGTGCCGACAGTTCCCGTGGGGCTTTTCAGTGGTTGTCATCCTCCCCGCCTCTCCCATCAGATCCAACTTCGAACTTGCTCCTTCTTACTCTCTCCACCACATGTATACTCCCTCCCTTCAAAGTTTGTGCCCTAAGGTTGGGCCTCGTCTCCGACTTCCTACCGTCATTTGTTGGCCATTGGAAAGTTAGTGTATCCATGCTTCTCATGTTAAGGTGGGATCCAGGTGAAAGCTCAGAGACGGCGTCACCTACGGGCGTCTTGGCCTCCTTGCAAGCGTCATGGTGGAAACCCTCTCTAGCTCGTGGTGGGCTACCCGTGATAGATCGGGATCGAAGAAAAGCTAATCTTTGACTTGGTGAGCGCTAATGGTAGCGCATGTGGACGTCGTTCTCTTCCTTGGAAGCGTTGCCATTTCCCCCTTCCCCTAGCAGCCTTGGTTCACTCAGTGTGGCGCGCTCGGTGAGTTTAGGACCAAGCTACTCTTTGGTGTGCATGCTCATGATCCTCCCATGGCTACCGTTGTGTTGCGGCGAGCTCCGTGCTCCTGGTGGTTGTGGTTCATCTTTGCTTAATAATGACGTAAGATGCCTCCCCAACATTGCTAGTCGTTTCAAATTTCCACGGCGGAACTCCTGGTCAAGGTTCGTGTTTGGCTATAACACTCATTGATTGTATTGCACCGTGGGGTTCGATACGCATGCCGGTGCAGTGCGTTAGGCTGCTTGTAAAGTCTTGGTATTGTGATCCCTCGACGACATCCCACATCTCCTTGAGGCTCTCGTGGTGAAGGACAAATGGTTAGAGCAGGTGCATTTTCATATTCACGTTAATTCGGTACTTTATGGCTCAAATAATAAATTGGGACAAAGTTAGTTGCTCCATTGCCAAAGCTGGGTGGACCAGAGACTTTTCTTAGATTTCGCAAATGACGGCTTCAAACAATTCAATATCACAACAGCTAGCATCTGCCAAAGTATTCATTGCCCATAGCATACAACATACCAAAAACCACAGGCCGCTTCTCACCACCGAAGCTAGTGATAGCAGTTGGCAACACGCCAACATAGCACTGAAATGCCCCAAAACCGCAGGCTGCTTCTGACCAGGACGAAACCAGTTAGCAGTTGGCAACATGGCACTGAAATATCCATGAAAAACCATCTGCTAAGTAGCCTACTTAAACAGCAAACACCAGCTTCACACTCCCTCAGAGCCAAACCAGAACACAACTTTGCCACATCCACATCCTGAGAAACAACATGAGTGTAGAAATCCTTGATGGCAAGACCGTCCAGAGCTTCGTCGAGGACGAAGGCGCCTTCCACTCATCCGTGGACAGCCGGTTTGCGGCCCTCGACACCAACCATGATGGCCTGCTGTCGTACTCCGAGATGGCCCAGGAGCTCATGAGCCTCAGGGTTCTTGAGAAGCACTTTGGCGTTGATGAGTCCGCCATGAGCCGTGGTGAGCTTGTCGAGCTTTACCGTGGCCTGTTTGCGAGGTTCGACCGAGACGGCAATGGCACGGTGGACCTTGAGGAGTTCCGGGCTGAGATGAAGGAGGTGATGCTCGCTGTGGCTAACGGGCTCGGCTTCCTGCCGGTGCAGATGGTGGTCGAAGAAGGCAGCTTTCTGAAGGTGGCTGTGGACCGGGAGCTGGCCAAAGCAACTTGAAGAAACTGCTTGGAACGACTTTCCAGAATCAGGAGGCTGCATGTTCACGAATTGTAACTTTTATTCTGCCAATTTTGTTGTGCTACAACTACACCGGTGCTAGTTATTTGTACTTAATAAGTGAAACAGAAGCCACAACATCAGTTTAATTTACAAAATGACAAGCTATTTATGTAAAGGGAAATGTTGTAAATCTATGTTTGTGGATGCCTACCAAACTAGCAGTTTTAGAATTTGGGTGTTTTGTTTTCACTCCAGAAGCTGATTATGTTATGACGACTGAAAATTCAGAAACAATATGTTCAGAAGAGTCACCAAGAAGAATCAGATTAACACAAATTGAATCAACCGCATATATCAAAATTCAAGAAAGTGCATTTCAATTCAACACCACATGTTAGTACGAAAGAGAAGTTAACAGAGTTTTGCTACAAAGAAATTAACTGAAGAAAAGTATGCACCGATTGCAGAACTGGTAGCAACTTTACATTACCAGCACCAGAGCTAACACTGTCAGAATAGCTCATCAACTGATATTGTGTTGTCTTCCGTCTGCTTCATCTGCTACTCACAGGTCTCATGCATAATTTACTCAACATGCCGTTTCTAGACCTGCAGAATGTAAGCCATTGGACGAAAGAAGAACCCATGCTGCCCTTTCTGAATAAAGTTTAACACCTCCCAAAATGTTCTTTTGCTAATAGATCAATCCTGATGTGCAATTTGGCACCTGCAAATTTAGGTATAACATACACCGCCAGTAATCCAGATCCATGCTCTGGATAACAACTTCAAAAACTTGAAGAACTGTTAGATGATGGCAACGAAGAACCGAGCCATATACTGCTAATACTGCTGCTGTGGCATTGTCCGAAACGCCAATACAATCGCAACCCATGAGCTCAATCGTTCTTCTCCTCGAGCTCACCTTCAAAAGCATCATGATTGATCTCCAATGGAGAATCTTTGATCTCCAATGACCTCAGGAAGTTAAAGTAGGCATACTTGATGTCAAACTGCATGTCATACCAGTAGTTGACGGCAATGGTGAGACCGTTAGGCCCGGGGCTCTGGCTGACATGGTGAAACCACATGCTCGGCAAGTGGAGCATCTCGCCGGCACGGACGGTGCAACGAATCGGCCTCGGCCCTTTGAAGTAGAGAGGGCAGGCTGAGACCTGCGCCGCCACCTCCTCCGGTGACGCCGGGTACGGGTCCACGCTGCTCCAGGGCACGACCCTCTCGGGCTCTTCCATCTCCAGCTTGAGCTTCGGTACCTCCTCCCCTTCCTCGACCGGGACGTAGCGGGCGGCGGGGTAGTCGCGGATGTGGAGGCGGTGGTGCTCGGTGGGGGGCAGGAGGAGGAAATGCTTCTCGCCGGAGAGGACGACGTAGATGTTGTCGTAGTGGTCCTTATGGAAGGAGGTGACGGAGCAGGAGTTGCCGATCCAGAGGTTGACGGCCTCGGGGAGGCAGCCGAGCGCCTCGCTGGCCCAGGGCACGTGCGCGTCCACGTCGCCGGCCACCGCCGCGTACTCCCCGCGCAGGCAGTCGTCCTGCTGCTGCGCGTACGCCACCAGGCCGGCGGCCGGGTCGGAGTCCCTGATGAGCCGCACGGCGGCGGGGAAGTCGACCCGGCGGACGTGCGCGGACGCGAAGCACCTGGCGCCGGGGCGGCGCGGGTGCGCGGCGAGGGCGTCGGCGCGGCCGTCGGGGGTGAGGTGGACGGAGACGTCGGTGGAGCGGAGCGCGTCGGGGAGGTAGGATTCGGTGGGCCAGAGCGAGGCGGCCGGCCAGTGGCGGGTGGCGGCGGCGGAGACGAGGAGCGGGCGGCCCGGGGAGACGTGGTCGCGGAGGAAGGCGAGCGGGGTCGGGGGCAGGTCAGCGCGCGCCACGGCGTCCGGGGAGTGGAGGCCCAGCAGCTCGCGTGACTCCGCCCACAGCTCCCGCACGCTGCGCTCCATCTCTCAGGCTGCGCCGCTGGTTTCGCGAATTCTGGCGGCGGCGGCGGCGGCGGCACGACGGCTCAACGCGCGTCGAACGGTTCAAGGGCTTAGCCGGCGAGCTGGCCCACTGCTGATTCGGGCCAGACCTATGGGCTGCGGGCCTGGTTTGGTAACTTCTTTGTGGGCTGTAATCATGTGGACAACGCGCGTCGAACGGTTCAAGGGCTTAGCCGGCGGGGAGGTCCTATCTGTCGCATTTTGCGGCAAATTGCCGTCGAATCGCACAGGGGACGCCACCGAGTGGGCCGGCCCATTCGCAGCACTGCAGCGAGCGAACAAATGCAGTAAGCTAAAAATAGAGCGACCCCGTGGGGAATCAAACTCGCTACCTCTGGCGACTGAAAGCATCTCGTTAGCCACTCGAGCTGAGAGCGCCTTGGTGATTGATATACACCGCGGAATTCTAAAAGCACAACAGAGTGGGCAGCTCAAAGATGTACTGTGGCGACCGGGCTGTGTACTGACACGAACAAGCCAAGGTAGAGTTTCTTTTCGAAGCTCCAAATCCTTCTTTTCAAAACGTGAACATTTTTAAAAACACAAATAAAATTTCGAATTTCAAACATTTTTCGAAAAGGATAAACAAAAATTAGAAACTACAAAAGTATTTTGAATTTGTGAATTTTTTTTTGAAAAAGCAAACATTTTTAAAATTCCGAACAACTTTGAAAGCCTGAACATCATTTGTAGCTCCCAAAACAATTTTTTAATTTGTGAACAAATTTTGAAAACGAGAACATTTTTTGAAATTGTGAACAAAATTTTGAAACCACAAACATTTTTTGAAATTCTAAAACATTTTTGGAATTTTTGAACAAATTTCAAAATGAGAACATTTTTTGAAATTCTGAACGACATTTGAAATTTGCAAAAAAGATTGTCAAGAAAAATAAACTTGAAAAGGAAAAGGAGATAAATTAAAAAGAAAAGAAAAAACAAAAATATCTAAAAATACATTGTGAAAAAAAAGTTGAACACATTTTTAAAAATAGATTTCCGAAAAAGATACTTTTTTTTGAAAACCATCAAGATTTCTTGAAACAGGAACATTTTTCCAAATTCGAGAACAAAGTTTGGAGATGCGAACATATTTTGAAACTCCTGAACAATATTTGAATACATTAACATTTTTAAAACTTGTGAACAATTTATGAAACATTAGAAAAATTTTGAAACTCCGAAAATGATAAAAACATGAAACTTTCCAAAACAAAATTTTTAGACGTAACACTTTCCAAATTTCTGAACAATTTTTTTAAAAAATAACATTTTTGGTAAAAAAAAAAAGAAAAAAAGTAGAAAACATGAAGATTTATTGAAACGGGAACATTTTTCCAAATTCGAAAACAAAATTTGGACATGCGAACATATTTTCAAACTGTTGAACAAAATTTGGAAACATGAACATTTTTTAAAATGTGTGAACAATTTATGAAATTGAGACATTTTTTAAACTTCGAAAAAAATAAAACATGAACATTTTTTGCTATTTGTGAACAAATTTTGAAAATGGAAAAAACAATTAACTGCCCAACATTTTTTGGGAAGTGGTGAAAATTTTGAAGAAAAGCATTAGAAACAATTTTTGAAAATGAGAACATTGTTCGAAAATCCCGAACATTTTTTGAATTTATGAATAATTTTTAAAAGAACTATTTTTTGAAATTTCAAATGTATTTTAAAAGCAAGAACAATTTTCGAACATGATGTTTTAAAAAAAAGATAAAATAAACTTGAAAAAGAAAAAAACAGTAAACTTCAAAAAGAAAAGAAAAAAGAAAAAAAACAGAAACAGAAACCAAATATAAAAAAAAGAAACAGAAAAACCGATAAAAACTGGTTCAGGGAACCTTCTGGAAGGTTCCCAAAACCGGCTGGAGCAGGTGCACTGTCTACGTAAAAGTGGACCGCCCATCAACTCGTAGCTGCTCGGTCGCTCGCATGTGCGAAGCGCGCAGTTTGAGGCAGAGAGCGTCAAATAGGAAATTCCTAGCCGGCGAGTTGGCCCACTGCTGATTCGGGCCAGACCTATGGGCTGCGGGCCTGGTTTGGTAACTTCTTTGTGGGCTGTAATCATGTGGACGTAGTGTAAGTTGCAAGGCCTTCTACCCCTTACTTCGAAAAAGGAAAAGCTTCAAGGCCCTTCAAGGACGAGAGCTCCTATTTTCGCCCGTGCGCGGCAAATTGTTGAGGCTTCGCTGAAGCCAGCCACGAATGGGCCGGCCCATTTAGATCTGTTGAACTTCAGGCACGCTAAAAGTTCAGAAAAAGTGCTACGCAACTGGGACTCGATCTAGTGACCTCCTTCTCATTATCTAGTAGAACTAGCCAACAGAACTAGTGAGCTCCACTGATTGAGTCACGGCACAAAACTTTAAGTACCGAACTTCCTTTGAAAAAAAATCGAGTACTACTCACTGAACGTTTTGTAAATATCTGTCGAACATTTTCTTAACATAAATGAATAATTTAAATTATACATAATTAACATTTTTTAATATATGATGAACGTTTTAAAAAAACATAAATATATGTGTTGAACAATTTTTGAAAATGCATTGAACATTTGTAATATACGTTGAACAATTTCCAAATACACATTGAACATTTGTGTATATAACACTGAACAAAATTTAAAAACACAGGGAGTACTTTATATTCATTGGACAATTTCTAAATATGCGATGAATATTTTATAATGCATGATGAACTTTTCTTCATATACCATGAACATTTCCTAAATATACAATCAACATTTTGGTAACATGCAATGAACTTTGTAATATAGGGAAAAAGAAACAGTAAAAAGAGAAAAGAAATCATCAAAACGAAAAAATAATATAAAAAATAAATAGAAACAGAAAAGAAAAATAAGAACGAAAAGAAAAAAGAAAAAAGAACCAGAAAAGAAAAACCGAAAAGAAAAAAAAAGCAAACGAAAAAATTGAAGCAGCAACGCGCAGCACGCGAACTGGGCCGGCCCACCCGAGGGCGCTGCGGGCGTTTCCTCGACGATTTGCCGCTCGCAGGCGGCAAATAAGAATTGCCTTCAAGGACATGCATCCTCACTGTGCATTTTTCCCAAAAAACAAACTAAGGCCCTGTTCGGTACTGCTCCGCTCCACAACTCCGGGAGTGGAGTTGGCGGAGCTGTAGTTTAAATCGGAGGAGCTGTTGTTTCCCCGCTACGCGGATTTCAGGAGCGGGTGATTGCCGAGCAGGGCCTAACTGTAGTTCTTTTCAGAAAAGAATACACGGTGCAACAGCTAATATACGCCCTCAAAACAAAAAACTACATAGGCCAACGCAAGCACTAGCTCAAATGGATCGCGCATGACGACGTACCATTTTTTTTTACGACGATGATGTACCGTTATGACTTTAGAAACGATGGATCAGATTAACCACTCGATCGACGCGGACCATCTATGATAATGTATGCTTCTTCTTTTCGAAAAGATATGCTTAATTATTTGTACATCTGTCTTGTCCTTTGCATGGCAAACATAAATATGGTTATCCTATAAGTACTTAGGGCCAGTTCTTTTGACAGCATAAAAAATAAGCCACCCCTCCCCAACTTTTTTTATAAGCCGCCTTTCTTGTTCATTGGGGCTTCTAAACTAGTTATGGGATAACTAACTTAGAAGTCTCAACAAACTTAAAGGACGGCTTATTTTTTAAGCTGAGGAGAGACAACTTAATTTTTAAGCCGCCCAAAAAACTGGCCCTTAACCATGGATGCGTCGTCAAACGTCTCACCCGTCCGTGTGAGCCATACGCGCATGCATGCCCGGCCGCTTGTGGACGGTGAAATACTGTAATGAACTTCGTGTTTTATCATCCATTTGCTTGGGAATACCTGTTAGTTATGGGGTTGACCTACTCACAGTGAGCTCATCCGAGAAGGACCAGTTGCTACAGAATGCCTATGTTGAGGACGTGTCGGTGCTCCGTTTGCCAATGGCACACATCGCTGCAAATGCTTCCATTTCAACATGGTTCTAATCTTTGTCGAGATAAAGCATACGTATAATAGAAGAATGATCACTACCATGTATTAGTACCTACGTAGTACAGAAGTACAGCTCAGACCTCATTTACCCTCAAGTATAATCGGCAGCGTTAGGCATCCCCAACGGCAGCCCGCAAAAACCTTTCACGTTAGTTCGCCGACAGGGAATCAGTCCGCGGGCACGGGTGCGGGAGACAGTCATTCAACGTTAGTCGCATACATTTTAAACTACATTTTAACTAACCGAACGAAATTCATTCAAACTGATCAATATTTATCAAAGGTCGGATGGAAAGTAGCACAAATCATTTATACATAACATGCAAATTAAGTCTAGTACAACAAGGTCTCAAATTCGACTAGATCCTGAATGTCTAACAAGTTTTTCAGGAACGGATCATGCCCTCCGACATATACTTTCCCTTTAGCTTCATCCAGTAGTGTGTGCATGTAAATGACCGTCCCGCTGACCTGTGGTACAGCACGATAGTATGTGCGGGCTAAATATAATGTGTAGACCAACATTGAGTAGATGAATCAATCAACAAGTTTAGCAAGAGGAAGTAAAACTTACCATCTCCTCCACGCCTGCGTGCAATGGCCACCTTGCCTCGAGCTGACTGGTCAATTTGTAGTACTTGATGACGTTGACTTGGATAACATGCCAGCGATATGACAATGCCCTCAAGTTTGTGTGGTCGCATGATGTACACGTCGTAGGACGCAATGTGCTTTTCTGCGTGAAACTTTTCATGCACTCCCAGAAGGGTGGCCCTCTGATCCTGCCTATGAAATACGTGAATACAACCAGCCACGCATCGCACAACAACTCATCCTCCATGATCGAGTAGCTCACCATCCTTCGTACTCTAAAAACGGCATAGCATTTGAAAATAAGCTCAATGACATTTGATCGAACACCTGCCGGGCGTGGTGTCCGCCA